TTTATCTTATCTAATTGTTTTAGAAAGTTTCACTTGATTTCATTGAAGCTGTGTGGTGATTTTTCAGTATTGACTTTGCAATTTTATCTAAAACTAACTATATGTAGGTGTATTCACCTAAGATGCAGTAGCTGCCTAAAATTGTACTGGTAAGGTAATGTAAAAAATAGTCTTGTTCTTTATCCTGTGGATCATGGATAATCTTTAACATTTGAATATAAGTGTTTTGTTTCCTGAGTCATGTAAGGGTACATTGACCTTTCCCAGACTGATACATAGCACTCAGAAAACCCATCACATGCATTCCCCATGATACTAATAAATATTAATACTCAACAGGACTGGATTGAATTGCTTTGCACAGTTTATAAGTTGTGCCTCCCTCTTAAAGTTTGGTAGTCTTATTTGTGTGCTCAGGTTTTTGAGAAATGCTTCAGTAAAATAATAACACTGAAAGTACTCTTCAGCCAAATCTATCTTCTGAGTTATTTCACAATTGCTAAAAGTTGTACATGGAATTATGTGGTCAAATGGAGCATGGCTATTAGTAGATACTGGCATACTCTTATCAATTAAGGCCCAACTTCATACCACAGAAAGATTTTCTCTGTTTATGAGGACTCTCTAGGAATACTTCCTCTATTTGATAGAGATTAATTTAACCTTTCCTAGATGTTCTAATCATAGACCAGAAACCAGCTTTTTTCTTTTTTTTATTCTTTTTTTTTTTTTTGCATCTTTGGATAGGAACTGAATGTTGAAAGTAGGTAAAGGGATATACCTGATAACCTTTCAGTATCTGGAAACCAGCTTATTAACATGTTCTTCTCCACCATTCCCTCATGTAAATGAAAGATTAAAAAAATGAAATCCCCTTTGCCTTATTTTCTAAGTCTTTCAATTCTGCTGCTGCAGATACTCCCTGAATCTTGACCCAACCCGTCTCTCTTGGGAAAAAGTTTTTATAAATGCCAGCTGTCTTTCCCTGCTTTCTACTTTCACTCAGCTCTGTCCAAATAATGTCCCATCTGCCTGCATTTGTTCTAGAAGCTCATCTTTCTGTCCTGTTCTCAGCCCAAACCTACAGTTTTTACAGTTTTCCTTCATCTGAAAACCTAGTAGATGTGGCAGTGTAGTTGACATTTTCCTGAACTATGTTGATGAGACAAGATAGAACCGTACTTACCTCCCATCTTTCTCTCCAGCCACTCTAACATAGATATCTTATGTTCATTTCACTTCATTTCACAGGTCCCTGATGAGCCATCTGGTTGGCCGAGAGGATTTGGTTAGCTCCCTATCCGTCCTATCTGTGGAATTTTAGAGGATGATGATTAAAAAAATAATAGTTTCTGTTGTTTTTGAGGTAGTGTCCTTCACTACCTCCACTACCCAACCGCCACCACACTCCAGGACGCTTTCTGGACCCGCACGGCCAATTTGCGGCCGCGCGACATATCATAAGACACTAAATACCCATCTTCCAGAATTGTCGTACCATATTTGATAGGGTTCAAATATAGTAACACCTACGAGGGCAATTAGAGGTCGCCCCAAAAGCCTCTATCCCTCTCGGAAAGACTGGCAAGCTACCGAGAGTATTCCGCCCGCACGGAAGAGCCTGGCAAGCTATCCATTGTGTATTAGATATGCCAAAAACAGTAACTACAACTGGTCTCATTCACCTGACCCTGAAGGCTGCACCGATATGGCAGCACTGAGAAGGATGAGAAAGGAGAGGCCGATAAAATCTCAAGGTCAAACTAGGCTGCCACAACGAAGGAAGACAAAAATGATCGTCTGTACTTTCAATGCACGTACGCTAGCATCAGATGCATCCATCGAGGACCTGATGGTACAAGCGCGAATGATCAAGTACGACATCATTGGTCTGACCGAGACAAGAAGGCACGAATCTCACCATGCCGTTTTCGACACTGGAGAAGAATTGTTCCTCGGAACATGCGATAAAAGAGGTGTCAGTGTCCTTGTCAACTCAAACTTGGCCATGAGCATTGATTCATTCGAATGCCTAACAACCCGAATCGGACGTTTACATTTGAATAGATGTGGCTCACTGCCAGCAGTTTCTGTCTTCGTTGTCTACGCACCAACATCTCATTATGATGAAAGAGAAATCGAGAAGTTCTACGTGGAGCTGGAGAAGTTCTATAAAGAATACCACACCTTCTACAAGATCATTGTGGGTGATTTTAATGCCAAGATAGGACCGAGAAGATCAGCTGAAGAACTTCACATCAGGAACCATGGCCTAGAATGGAACGAACGGGGTGAGAGACTGTCTGAGTTCATCATGTCGACCAAGACCATCCATGGTACTCACAGTTCCAGAAGGAAGAATCTAAACGTTGGACATGGGAGTCTCCCGGTGGATGATTCCACAACGAAATAGACCACATCATATTCAATTGACGGTTTTGCCTGACTGATGTCGCTGTTGTCCCAAAATTTCTAACGGGATCAGACCACCATCTCCTTCGTGCAAAATTCGACTTCACAGAGCGGGGAGAAAGAGCTGCAAAATTTAAAAAGAGAACTCCCAGAACGACCACCAACTGGGAGCTCTTTGGCATTATTACGGCAACATGGGAAGATGCCATTGTTGACAACATTGACGAGGAATACGATTGACTGGTTCAGCACCTCCATGAATGTGCGAGGAACGCCAAGAGAGAGATAGCCACAAAAAAAAACTCCTGTCTTCGAAAACTCTTGAGCTTATTCGCCAGCTTGGTTTGGCGCATGCCTCAGGCAACCGCAAGCTAATGTCCAAGCTCGCAAAGCAGTGCAGAGATGTGATCAAAGAACACCTCAAAGAGAGAAGGGCAGAAGTGCTGGTAGATGCGGAAGAAGCCAGGAAAATTATTCGTAACACCCGCCTGTCCTTCGCCAACTACAAGACCAAGATGACTGCCCTCCGACATACTGATGTATCCATCACATCCTCCAGAACGGCAATGGAGAAGATTATCCATGACTTCTACTCAAATCTCTTCGATCTCCATGTCCACTTGCCGACATACCAAATTCCACAGGATGGATATGTCCTTCCCAACATTCTCCCTTCCGAAATTCGACACGCCATTTCATCAGTAAAAAAACAAATAGCACCCGGCCCAGACAAGGTCAGACCTGAAGACCTGAAGAACCTGCTGTCAGTACTCATCAATACACTGGCTCAGCTCTTCACTCGCTACCTGTCTGAATGCAAGGTTCTGTCCCAAAGGAAATCCAGCAGGACTGTACTACTGTTCAAGAAGGGAGACATCCATGACATTGGCAACTATCGCCCGATCTGCCGATTGTCTGTCATCTACAAGTTGTTCACTCGAGTCATCCTAAATAGGATTGGCAGAACACTAGATGAAGGACAACCATGTGAGCAAGCCGGGTTCCCCAAAGGATTCAGCACCATCGAACAAATCCACACGAAAACCAAGCTCATTGAGGTTTCTTGGGAGTTCAAGATGCCGCTCTGTTTAACGTTCATTGATTTAAAGAAGGCCTTTGATTCTGTTGAGACAGAAGCGGTCATTGAAGCCCTAGCCAATCAGGGCATTCAAGCCCAATACATCAAGATCCTCTGTGAGCTGTATTGCGGATTCATTACCAGGATCTCACCATTCTACAAAGAAGTAATCATTGATGTCAAGAGAGCGGTTCAGCAGGGTGATACCATTTCACTGAAACTCTTCAGTGCCACCCTCGAGAACATCACGTGAGGACTAGAATGGGAAGGAATGGGAGTGAAGATAGATGGTCGGCAACTACACCACCTCCGCTTTGCTGATGACATTGTTTTAATAACACCAAACATCAGCCAAGCGGCACAAATGCTGGCCGACTTTGACCGTGAGAGTGGAAAGGTAGGACTACAGCTGAATGTTACGAAGACAATGTTTATGAGAAACAGCCTCTTTCCTGATGCCCCATTTGGTCTCAACGGAACGACCATCTCCGAATGCAACAGCTATGTGTACCTAGGTCGAGAAGTCAACATGACAAATGACCTGGCACCCGAGCTGTGCAGGAGGAAGAGAGCAGCTTGGAACGCCTTCAAGAATGTCGAAGAAATAGCTAAGAGGACGAAGAACCTCTGGCTCCGGGCACATCTCTTTGATTCCACTGTTCTTCCTGCATTAACATATGCCTCAGAGACCTGGGCCCTACGCAAACAGGATGAGAACCCTATTCAGGTCTCCCAAAGAAGAATTGAAAGAGCTATGCTTGGAATATCATGTTTCACTCAAATGAGAGAAAGAATCTGGAGTTCCGACATCCGTTGACGATCAAGAATCAGGGACGCTGTCTCGTTTGCCAAGGTGTCAAAAATCAGATGGGCTGGTTACATAATGAGATTTAAAGAGGACTGCTGGACTAGAGCTGTTAACGACTGGATTCCAAAAGACCGCGTGGCCTCTCACCTACCAGATGGTCAGACTTCTTCATCAAGATCATGAACGATCGGTTTGAGGCTCTTCATGTTCCCAGAGCGAACAGATGCCATTGGGCTACACTAGCACGCGACAGGGACAAATGGAGACGTTACTGGCGCCCGCTCGAGCAAATCTACAACTAACGGGAAGTTAAGTGATTAAGTGATTAAGTTGTTTTTGAGAACAAAATCCAGCCCCAAATAATAGTTTTGTATAGTAATTCTGATGGAAATGTGCCTTTTCTTAGTCACATGCCTCTGGTTTCTATGACATTCCCACCATGTCTTTGGGATTTTCTAGCTTTTCTAAGATTTGGTTTCTAGTCATGCATCACCGAGTTTGAGTCAACAGTAGTGCATGCTGGGATTAAAACCTACATGATTTATAGGTTTCTGTCCCCTATTCCTATGTCAAATACATCCCTGGACAATTCTGCCTTCTCTTCCCCTTCTCTATCGTTGTTCCCTTTGGTGACCCTCCCTTGCATCACAGGTTTCCAAGATAACCAGACCCACAGTAAGCAATGCTTTTCTTTGTCTACAGGTGTTCGTCTTGACAGAGTACGTGGAGGCCGGCAGAAGTACAAACGCAGAATAGATGCAGAGAACAGCCCCTACCTGAACCCTCAGCTTGTTCAGCCAGCCAAAAAGCCATGTAAGTACAGCAGTGGTTCTGCAGGGAAGTCTCCTGTGAACTTTGACCCTCCTACTGCCAGCCCCTCCCTGCTGCCTCCAAAGAGACATCTCTGCTGGGGATCTGTGATTCTGTTACCAAAAATTGGCCTTCGAGGAGTATCAGCAATTCAGCAAATTATCAAGCTCTCCTCACCAGAAAGCTCCACCACTACTCCCTTCCACCTTCTTGTTCCTTGTCATTGTGTTAAAGCATAAGCAAGGCATAATTTGTGCAGCACGCATTTTGCATTTCCTGGTTTCAGAGGTACATAAAACAGATCGCATGGTGATCATTAGTTTATTGGAGCTGTTCAGTTCAGATTTCATGAGAAAGTGAGTCAGTCTAAATGAGTCCGACTGCTCAGCTCCCTGTAAAAATGCATTAGGAGCCTCATTAATTTGGAACTGTAGAAGGTTAACACACTTCTTAGCAAGAGATTAACACCAGAATGGGCCCTTAGAATAGTAAGCAAAGGGTGGTGGTGTGGTTCCTTGTCTTCGGCCCTTAGGGGCATTATGAATTGTTTCTGACAAGGACTGGGAGTTTTATAATGTCAGGTTGCAATATGAGAGGGTGGCTGTTTTGTGGCTAGAAATGCAAACCCATTACACCAAAGACCTGGGAGACAGATTGAGGCAATAATAACGTGCCCCTTTCGGAGAAATCACTTGGGAGCTGTCTCCTAGCAGAGGATGTTGACACAGACTGCTTTCGGGTGTTTAGTCTTAGTGTCTCACTGAGAAGAGCTGTCTGGTTCTCAGAGGATGCGGCTGCACTCTCCCGGAGCAGCGAATGCTGTTCTAGCGTTCTTGGAAAGACGCGACTCCTTTCCCATCTGCTTTCGAGGGAAGAGAAAAGGAGTCCAGGTCTAGTCAGATTATCCAAGAGGGGTCGCTGCTGAGCACCACATGCCTGAGTGTATGGGCAAGGGCTAAATCAATCAATCAGTCCCCAAACTGTAAACAAGAGGACATACTAGCCGTGCCTAAGGAAAAACAGCCAGTTTTACAGAAAATTAAGGCTTAAGTGAACATATGGCATAGTTTCCTTTTGCCTTTCCAAAAATCATTACGTTGATTATACCTTCAATTGTCCAATCTGGCTGTGTCTCAGCCTGCAGGAGCTGTTTGGCATCCTGTGAATGCCATCAAGGCCTGCAGGAAGCAGATTTTACACATTATAGTAATAAAAAAAATAAGACATCGACTTTCTGATAATATAAAAAAGCACTGTAAACGCATACTGAATTTCACTTGGGGTTTTTTGCTACAGGATTTGGTACGAAACAATGTGCTCATTGCTCTGGTTGGACACAGTAGATAGATGTAGGCGGGAGGCCTGAGTGACTCACGCCATGGAGAGAACGGTGAGGCCAGAGCTTTTGGAAGTGCACATGCTTTTACATCACTTACCGTTTCCTGTCTCATCCCGAGAAATTGGGACATGGTTTGTCAAATACTTTTCAGAAGACTAGAGCTCGCTCCAGCAAGCTTTATTTGTTGGAGATAAAGAGCACTCCTAATAAATCATTGCTCATTATCTCAAGACTTTTGTGTTAATTTTCCTTAGTCCATCCAATTAGTGTGTTTTGGTAACAAACATTTATAAAACTTAATTTTCAGACCCTGTCAGATAATCATGGAGAGACCTGGGCTGGGCTGGTCTGAGCAAGTGGCTTGCGGAGATTTCTGGACACTGACTGATTGTATACCAGAGAAACTCAGCAATGAAAATTGGGTTCTATTGATGCTAATTTGAGAAACAATAAATAAGATTTGCTTAGGAACACGGCTGCCAGCAATTCCATTTTCTGAATCATGGGAATTTCTAAGCTTCAGCCCCAAATTTCCCTTACCTCCCTTGGTTCACCAGGGGTAAGCATGAGCTGAAAGGACAAGGCCACTGAGGATATGCTTTAGTTCCTTTTTGAACCCTTTGTAATTTTTTTCTCTTCATCCTGAGAACCTGGTTGTGGTTCACAGGATTTGTAGCCTTGTGAGAGCAATGAAAGTTACAACTTTTCCAAGAATAACTAAGAATCCAGGGTGTTGCTTCTGCTGCAGATAGGGGAATTAAATGTCATTCTCTGCAGCACATACAAATTTTTAGAGAGAAAAAATGATTTTACATTTTTTTCTAGAAAATATGACATTTGGGAATATTCCCTTCCAAATCTCTACTATTTGATAATAATTAAAAGGCACAGTCATCAAATTTGTTCACTATTGGCAATTAATACCATTCATATGGCAGGCATTAGTGACAAATTTTTGCTTTTTAATCTGTAAAGAAAACTAGTAATTGTAGTTGGGGTTCCATTTCCTTACTTTTTCTTTAAAAGTGGCTAAGGAAGGCTAGGTTTCAAAGTCTGAGGTGTAGGAAGTCTTTTTTCACTTTGAGCTGTCAAGTTAAAAACTTAAAAAGGCAAAATGTCTGGTTGTCTCAGAGAATACTGGTTTGATTACCAACACCCCTTCCTCATTCTCATTTTCTAGAAAAGTAGCAAGCAGAACCTTGAAATACTGGGCTTGATTGTTTCCGTGCGTACCTCCTCTCCCTCAGAAAAGAGTGTAAAATCAAAATCTGCAGTTAGAAATGCGGGAAAAAATGACCAACAAGAAAAAAGAATCATTCCAGTCCCAGGGTTTTACAGCCCGTCCATAAACTCTCACATGCCCCTGAGCAGCAAAACGCATCAGACATGATGCTTTCCATTTGTCTCTAGTGCTTTGCTTATTTTAAACACATATATCACAAATCTCAGACGGATACCTCAGAACCAGAGCATGAAATAAAAACAACAGAGGAACACAGATGATTAAAGAATTAGGCATGCCAAAGAGAAAATACTATCGCCCTTAAGTAGGAGGATTTTTCTGAAAACTGATATTGGCTTTCTGAGAGATTGACTGGGTATGGGGGAGGGGGAGCCTGGGAAGAAATTCCTCTTCCGTGCATCCCACAGGGTTAGACAGGTCTTACTTCTCCCCTGCAGAGGACCTCTGACCTTTACCCTCCTTTAAGGAATTAAAGCAATTAATGACTTTCTGGCCCATTATAATGATTTGGGGCATTAGTAATTTCCACCCCTCCCCCCAGGATTTACACATTTTATTCTATATTTTCATGCTTTATTGTGGGTTCTTTAAAAAAAAAACCTTGCTGGATCCTATTTAATCTTCTTTCCCAAACCCCATTTAAGAATCCAAGGGCATGCCCAGAAAGCACCTCCTGTAGGTTTTGCTGTAAAACATTTTATTCCAGGGCCTGTGCTTCCTTCCAGTCAAGGCAGGTAGAGCAAAGAAGGAAGGGAGCCTTCATAAATGACTGCAATGACTATTTCTTATTATGACTGTTGGGAAGCAATGGTTAATAAATAAATCTACCTGAAGAGAGAAGCATGAATAGAATGGGAGGGAGGCACACAGGTGATTTGAATTGATTTTCAAAACGGAACATCCTTTAGGCTGTGTGAATCTGTGTATGAGACATGTGCCATTAGTAATTTTGTGCTGCTCTGGTCTGACCCGACAGATAACAAGATTGTCTCACATTTGTTGGTGGCCGAACCCGAGAAGATCTATGCCATGCCAGATCCCACTGTGCCCGACAGTGACATCAAAGCTCTCACGACATTGTGTGACCTGGCTGACCGGGAGTTGGTGGTCATCATTGGATGGGCAAAGCATATTCCAGGTACACTTTTCTGAAAATAGAAATGGCAGGGCTTACAGAAATTCTTGAGATTGACTAGATAGGCTCAGGCAATTTGAAGATGTCTTTTGTAGGAGATATATACACTAATAGACATTTTTCCTTTTGCATTTGTTTTCCCTAACTGATATTTCAGAGCTTTCTGAAACTAATAGAATAATTAACCTTTTTATATCAAACCCACCTTGAACTCTTTCTAATTAGCTTTTTCTACCTGAAGGTCTTTTACCTATATAATAGTACATCTAATTTTAAAAATTATTTCTTGATCCCTTTCAAACTCCTGAGCTTTCACCTAAAAATACTTAGTTTTCTTTGCACTTGGAAAAATGTTTTTGTCGGCTTTAGCCTCGTGCCCCTTTTCTACACTTAAGAATCTTTTCTTTTTGTTGTTTCTGATGCTATTTATACAGAATTTCTAGCCTTAGTCACGAGTTTTGATTTGGCTTACAATTAAATATTTATCAAGCACTTATCCATGATATGAGACTAGTGTTAAATCAAGAAAATAGTACATTTCTCACAAGTAACTTAACAGTAGTATTTTTACATTTCTAAGTCTCCTACAATTTATTTCTTTCCCTTGCATCATCCTCTAAGTTCCATCAAGATGAACTGTACAAGTTTTGAGAATTTTATTTGAAATCCGTTTTCCTTGGTCTGTATTTTTTTTCAGATAGTTGATAAACAGGTTTTTCAGTGATAAGTCATGTTTTTCTGGTACAGTTAACTTATTTCTGTCTCCTTAAACTAGTTTGTCTATATGCTTTGAATGCTACAGTAATTTCTTTAATCAAATTGATGGAAGTTCCTTTCCCAGCCCACACTGAAACCAATTTATTGGTCATGATACGCCAGCTATGTTGCTAACAGTCGTAACGAACTGTCAGCGGTATTGCGGTGAAGCTAATTTGAAGTCATTAAGTGTGCAGCGTTCGGGCCACAATTTGTTACAGTGGTTAGGAACACAGCTGACATTCTGAATGGCTTTGTTCGCTGTAGTTCTAGATGAGACCAAGCAAATTGTAAACTAATTTAAACATCACTCTGTATTATACCAGCTACTTTATCTTACACTGTTTGCTAATAAAGCACTCGAAATTAAGTCAAAACTAGTTAAATTGGTGAGCTTGACTGTTTCCTTTAGAAGCTCCCTCACATAGAGATAGGCTATGTCTAAAAGAAGAATGAGAATTGGATCCAGTGGGAGGTTGCTATTGCTGTCTGGGTTGTGATCACACGTATGTGGCTTTGAGAAAAGAGCAAATACATATGCCATATATGGAATAATGCTAGAAGATGTAAAGACCTTGGGGGAATTGTGGCCATGAGAATAGCCTAGATTGGTTGAAGCAATGGAGAAAAACTGAAGTGGAGGTAAAAAGTTCTGGAGTTTTCAGGCAGGAAGAAATAAGTAAACTTGCTGAAGTATCCACAGATGCATTTTTTAGATAAGTAATGTATATCATCTAGACTTCAATATTATTATACAGTTCTTTGCATATATTTGTCTATTGTCAGATTTTTAGAAGCATCTTCGATCCCTGCCTGCTGCAGCCTTTGTGTCATGACGAACAAAACGTCTTCTTGCACAGGGAGTAGGGGGCACATCATCCCCATGTTTCACAGTTGAGAAATATTGTTGTAACCCCTGGTTAAAGGAGAATTATTCATAATTCAATGGTAGCAAGCAGAGAGAAATAAAAATATTGGCTCATATTCAATGAGTCCTTGTATATTTTGCATTGCTTCTGGGAGTAAAATCAGGATAGTTGATAATTTGAAATAACTTTTTCAAAATATTCAAAATGGTAGGATTATTGATGACAACAACTTGTAAGGCTGTGTGTCACTTTGACTCTAGACCATCTGTTATTTCAGAGGACTCTGCCCAAGTTCTCCTTGAATTAAGGGAGTGTGAAACCCATGTATTGATGTCATATAAACGTTCCATAATAAAGACGAATAAGAGCCAAAAGTATTACACACTATTCTCTTGTAAAGATAAGTCAATGATAAAGTGGTTTTAATCCATTTGTGTATCTCAGTAGAAATGTCAGCTTCCAAAGAAACTTCAGCAGTTGAAGAGTTCTGGCCAAGAGCAAGAAGACAGTAACTTTAAATAACGATGAGCAACATTGTTTCCAGTGGTGGAAACAATTACTAGACGATTATGTGTTCAGTTTTGAGCTGTGCTTAGAATTGGTGATTCTCTCCCCATAGCAAATGCCAGAGGAGGCCACGTGGGGGATGATTCACAGCTCCAGTCTTCCTGATACCCTGAGGGTGTTGTAGTGATTGCAAGTAGTATCTTGGCTTTTCAGAAAGGGATTAGCAAAGGAAGAATTAAAAGAAATTCTTTGTAATTTTTTTTTAGCAGTGAGTGTGCTGTATGAGGTGTTGAGATAGGGGAGAATCTGTAGCATGGAGTACTGGTTGACCCCCAGGTTCGGGGGCATGGCATGGTCTTGTGTGGAAAGATGGATGAGACAAAGAAGTGTAGGAAGATAGAAATTACATTTATGCTTCTATAAAAGTAAAATGGTGTTCTTGATACTAGAGCTTCAGTCAGAGCCGGAATGAAATCCAAGTCTGAACTGAAGTTTCTCCTTGCTGTCTTCACTTCAAAACACATTGTATAAGAACACTGTCCTATTAGAATTAAAAAATTTAATTAAAATAGGAATTAAAATATTTTAACAAAATATACTAAATACCAGCTCTCTCTCTCTCTCTCTCAGTGTGTGTGTGTCTTTTTGCTACTCCTAGTCTGTGTAAACACAAATACCACTCATACACACACATTTCCTCTTAATTAAGTCTGACATCTAAGATAGCATCAGTAGACATTCTGCATTGCTAAGAATTTGCTTTTTGTCTATTTGCTTTTGTTGCGTTAATGAAGAAAAGGAAAGAATACAACAACAAAAAATTGGAAGAAAATATATATGGAGTTTTTTTTTTTTAAAAATCAGTAAATAGAATTAGTTGACTTTCTTTAATAAATCATATAAATGGAAAAGTATGTTGTTATGAAACATGACCATACTTTATCTTAGAAAAGGGAAAAGATCACGAGGGCTTTAGAAAATGCTTGACTTTAGTTGGAGGGGCATAAGGGCACCCGAAGAGATGATGGTGCCCTAATAGCCCTTTTTAAGAATGACAGGCTCCACCATTAGCATCCTTTTATATCCTTGAAAATTGCTCATGCCTCGCTTTTCTGGTTCCTATCTGCCTGACTCTTTTTTATTTCTCTTTCAATTTCGTCCGCGCTCGGATAAGCGCGTGCTAACACAATATGATTGAGCTGTAAAATGGAACGCTGTCGCCTCTAATCTCTTTTATGTAGATACGGAGCTCTTGCACACGCTCTCCATCCTCCTGCCATTGTTGGCCTCTTTCAGCCCAGGCTGCTCGTAATGGAGGCACCATCGAATACTAGAGCTAGGTTTCACAGGGTGTGATAAGGTGATTATCAGACCAGCATTCAGATCTATTATTGTCCTCTGTGGTTTGATTAAAATATTAGTATGTACTGCTACTTCGTTGGCAAAATGCACAATGTACTTAGCTGATGGTGCTGAAACAGGCATCACCTGTGAGAGCTGACCTAGATAAGTGGCTTAAATATATTTATGGAGCGTGCCAGTTTACTATAGAAGAATAGGAATGTCTTTGAAGAATTAAGTAAGGGAATGTAGTTGAGGGGGAAAATATTTCCTTTCATGCGGCTGGGATGGAACTTAGTGTTCAAGCACACACTTGCATGAATGAGACCTCGCTTCCACCCTAGACATACACACATATAGACCAATTTCTTTTTTACTTTAGAAATATGGGAATTACTAGGGTAGAGTTGTCTTTTTTTTTAACAGTACAAATTAAATGATTACCTGCTCAAGGAGAAGGAACCTGTTCAAGTTTGAGGGCCTCTTGGTCACATTTTGAAATGGTTTCTGCTATAATGACATCCAACAGAGAGGAAAATCCTGCACTTTTTCTTCCAACCAAGTTAAGGCAGAAAATACTGAGCTCTAAAAGAATAGCACACTATGGAGACAATGCAACAAAAAGCTCTTCAAATAGAATTATTTATGAAAGAAATAGAAATCTTCTGTACAGAAACATAGTTTTCTAATTATGCCAACATTTTTTTTTGTAGAAACATTCAGTCAGGAGATTGTATTGTATATTGCTCATTGAGGTAAACTTTAAAATTTTTTGACAGATTTTTACTTAGGTTTTTCTAACAGTGACTCAAGTGTGTAAAAAATTATGCATAAACTGTTTATGTGTTAAGGCATATGTTTTTGTGAGAGAACACCCATGATTTTTTGTTTGTTTGCTTTTTATTTTTAAACCATACCTGGTGATGCTCAGGGGTTACTTCTGACTTTGCATTCAGGAATCACTCCTTGCAGTGCTCAAGGGACCATGTAGGATGCCACGGATTGAGCCTGGATTGATCATGTACAAGGAAAATGCCCTACCTGCTATACTATTGCTCTAGCCCCCTGAATATTTTGAACACTATTGCTCTAGCTCCCATGAATATTTTGAGTATTCATTAATTTGAATGAACATTTCTAATGACACTGTATTATTGTTTATATTAATGCTCAACCAAAGTTGGAAGGCATGTCATTTTTTTCATATTTTTGTTTTTGGGGGCCACACTGAGCAGTACTCAGGGCTTACTCCTGGCTCTGTGCTCGAAGCTAATTCCTGACAATGGCAGGAGACCATATGGGGTGCCAGAGATCTAGCCAGGCTCAGCAGCATGCAAGGCACTTAGTGCTTTAGCCCCTGAACTATCTGGCCTGAACATGACATTTTAATAATTTCCATTAGTTATGTATATTGGCCAATGCCATTAAGTGATTCTTATGTTTGGAAAGCATGAAATATGTTAAAATCAATCATTTTGTAAGATTATGCTTTGATTTGTAACAAAGTATGTTTGCAAGTTTGTTTATGAT